GTCTGTTATTTCTTTATATCGCCTTGACTTCCTCTCCAAATGGAAAATCTATGTCTACATTTTTTAAGTCCCTGTTTTTTGTTTTAATGTTGTCATCTTTTACATATTGACATCTGTTTCCCTAATTTCAGTGTTTTCATTTTGATTTACTTTTGTGAATTCCCTATCTGAGTTGATATCTTGTTGCTCTGTCCTGTTGTCTAGTCTTGGGCTGTTATCTGATGTTACTGATTTTCTAACTGGAGGACCCCCTTAAGTATTTCTTGTAATTTTGGTTTAGTTTTTGCAAATTCCCTAAACTTCTGTTTATCTGGAAATACCCTAATTTCACCATCATATTTGAGAGACAGTTTTTCTGGATATATAATTCTTGGCTGGCAGTTTTTTTCCTTCAAGGCTTTATATATGTCATCCCATTGCCTTCTTGCCTGCATGGTTTCTGCTGAGTAGTCAGAGCTTATTCTTATTGACTGTCCTTTGTAGACGACTTTTTGTTTATCCTTAGCCGCTCTTCAAATTCTCTCTTTGTCTTTGGTTTTGGAAAGTTTGATTATAATATGTCTTGGTGACTTTCTTTTGGGATCTACCTTAAGGTGGGTTTGATGAGCATCTTGGATAGATATCTTGTCATCTTCCATGATATCAGGGAAGTTTTCTTCCAACAAATCTTCAACAATTCTCTCTGTATTTTCTGTTATCCCTCCCGTTCTGGTACTCCAGTCACTTGTAGGTTATTCCTCTTGATAGAGTCCCAGATATTTCTTAGGATTTCTTCATTTCTTTTAATCCTTTTACCTGATTTTTCCTCAAATAAGTTGGTGTCAAGTGCTTTATCTTCAGTCTCACTAACTCTGACTTCCATTGCCTCAGTGCTGCTCCTACGACTTTCTTTTGAGTTGTCTAATTCTGAAATTTTATTGTTAATATTCTGGATTTCTGATTGCTGTCTCTTTATGGATTCTTGCAGGCCGTTAAATTTGTCATTATACTTTAATGTTTTTAATTTTCTCTATTGCGTGTTTTGCATTTTGCTTAATTTCCTTCCTAATTTCTTGAATAGTTCTGTATATTAATCTTTAGTATTCTGCCTCTAGTAATTCCAAGAAATTTTCCTCCTCTGGAAAATTTCTAGATTCTTTATTTTGGGAGCTAGCTGAAGCCATCATGGATTGCTTCTTTATGTGATTTGATATTGACTGTTGTCTCTGAGCCATCAATAAGTTATTATATTTATTTTATGTTTGCTTACTGTGTCCTAGCTTCTTGTTTTGTTTTGATATGCCCAAGTAGGCTGCTCGTATGAGTTAGTTTGATTTTTGGTGTCTTTGAAGCTCTAATGTCCTGTAATCAGGTCGTTAGATCTGTTACTAGGTATGTGAGCTCCGGACTCCACCCACTCCTCCTGTATGGATTCAGCTCAGGTGCCTAGGTAGATAGCCACCAAGTGTGTGGTGTAGGCTCTCACAGTCCTAGACAGGTGTGGGTGATTGGTGTAGGCACAGGCATCTGGCTGCAGCAGGGGGACACACTGAGCAAGGCAGGAGGCTGACAGCTGTCCCCGAGTGTCCAGGAGGAAGGCGTGTCCCTGTTCCCTAGAGCGTGTAGGTGGGTGAGTTTTGCAGCCGGACTATGAGCACCTAATGCTGTTGGTTGTAAGGACTAGGGGGCATCTCTTTTTCATGGACCCCTAGTGAAGGTGGCTAGGTGGCATGGGTGGAGCCACCAGTCCTCAGGCCCCTGATGTGGGTAGGTGAAGACCCTGCTTAATGGGTAGAGCAGTGTCAAATGTCATGAACCTGCCACTTTACAGCTGAAACAGTTGAAGTTAGAGTTTTGGTATATACCCTGTTGTACTACAGTAATGACGGTCTGTGCTGTTGAAATGGGCCCACACAAGTCTATGCAGGGGGAAAGGCACTCAAAGTCCGTGGATCCCTTATGCCTGTGCCTAGACAAAGGAGCTGTGCCTACCCTGGGTTCCTGGCTTAGGGGAGCTAGCAGTTTATTTTTTCCCCTGTTTGTTAGTTTGTTCACTCTCTAAGGCAGGGAGAATGGCTCCAGGCATGTGACAGATCCTACATCTGGCCCAGGGGACTTGGCGGTTGCTGAGGCCGGTCCAGGACCCACGGCAGTGCAGGGAGCATGGAGATAAATGGGAGAGAGGTTTTTCCCTAAGGGGGGTGTTTTTAATCCACGTGGAAAGCGATATGTAAGTACTTATCTTTCGCCGATGAGGGCTGCTTCTCACTGGTTCTGGGTGGCCATGTAGACTCTCTGGCTCTGGGTCTCTCCTGGTACGGAAAACATGCCTCCCGAGCACGCTGCTTGCCTGCCTCACCGCTCATCCATGTGCTGCTCAGGCCTGAAGGGCTCAGGCTCTCGCCGGGTCAGGTCTGGCAACTCCTCACTGCTTCTGAGCCATCTCTCCCTTCCCCTGCCACTCAGTCTGGTTCCTCAACTCTGCCTTTGATGTTCAGGTCTCCCAAATTGCTATATATAATCGAATCACTTGTTTTTTCAGTCTTTGTTGTAAGAAAGTCCACCGGAAGCATCTGACTACTCTGCCATCTTGGCCCCGCCTGCCAACTTTTTTATTCTTCATTCCTGTCTGCATCTACAAACTTCCATCTGGAAGATTTTCCTTGTTTATGAAAATCATCTTTCATAGTTCTTTTTGCATGGATTTGATGGTGAAACATTTTTTTTCATAATGACTTTTTGCATCTTTATTTTTGAATGAGATTTTCACTGGGGATCAGATTTTTGGTTGGCAGGAATACTCTTTCAGCACACTGAATATATTATTGCAGTCTTTTCTGGCTTTTGTTGTCTGTTAAGAAATCAGTTACTAGTTGAATGTAGCTTTTTTGACTAATTTACATATACAGGTAGTCCCTGACTTATGACATATTCGAGTTAAGACGAACTGCACTTATGACTGTCAGTGTATCTGGAACATTGTGTCTTCCTGGGAGGATGTTATGGGAAAACAGATGCAGGGGATATGGAAAAAATTAGTAAGTTATTTGAACACACTCCAAGCATTTGATCAGAATAATATGATGGAAGAGATCACTGGCAAAATTGTCCATATGGCAAGAACACTGAATTTAGAACTTGATATCTCTGACATGGGACAGCTCATAGATCACGAAGAAGGGGAATTGACAGATCAGGACTTGATGGATTTTGAAGAGGAAAGAAACGTTGAAGAAGAAAGAAATAATGAGGAAAACGAAGGAGAGAAGTTGTCAAACAATTTTACAGTGAAACAATTAGCTGAAGTTTTTTCTAAACTAGATCAGGTGCTTCAGTTGCTTGAAAACATGGACCCAAATGCTGATTGCTTTGCTAAAGTCCAGATAGGCAGATTCAGGAAGCAGTCACATGTTACCACAAAATACATGAAGAAAAAAATATGCCACAAAATACACAAACAACTCTTACTAATTTTCTGACTAGAAATGCTGTCCCCATCCCCAGGGATAATCCAGATGATTCAGAACCATCCTCAAGAGGAGTTATTACTACAACCGACAAAATGCCAGTATTGCCCAACTCTTCTTCATTGCTGGAGTAAATTTTT